AGCAAAAAATTCTAGAATCCTTCGTAAATACTTAGATCCTTTTTAACTACAAAATGTATTCTAAATGTACACCATTCAGGTTTCAGACCAGGTCATAACACCATCTCTGCTACTTCTTTGGTTTTAAATTATGTTCTTAATTGTTTGGATAACAAGAAACACTGTGCAACCCTTTTTATTGACCTGTCTACAGCATTCAACACTGTGGACCACTCATTACTTATTCAGAGGCTTTCATCAATTGGTCTGGACCAGGCTGCTGTAGGTGGTTTGAAAATAATTTAAAGAACAGAACACAGTGTGTATTTACTGATGGTGTAAAATCAGGACATAACAAAGGGTGTCCCACAGGGATCGATTCTTGGTCCGGTTCTTTTCACTATTTACATGAACAATATTGGTTTATCTGTACAAAAATGTACTTTCACCTGTATGCAGATGACACTGTGGTATATGCTATTGCCCCACAGCTGATCAGGCTCTGTCAGAGCTTCAATCTGCCTTATTGCCCTGCAGAAATCCTTTGTTGAACTGAAAATGGGTGCTTAATGCAGGTAAAACAAGTATATGTTATTTTCCAAATCACGAAAAAATGTATCTTATGATTTATGCGTACATACTAAGGATGGTGCCCTCATTGACCATTTCCTCGCTTATAAATATCTGGGCATCTGGATTGAAGAAAAACTAACTTTCAAAAAGCATGTGGCTTTTTCTATAAGAACAGGTCCTGTCTTTCTTTAAATAGCAGAACACAAATCAATCAGTCAACATTCATTCCGGTTATTGACTATATCGTCTATATGAATGCAGCTGCCACTGTTTTGAAGCCATTGGACACAGTTTATCAAAGCGCATTGCGCTTTATTACGGGCAACAGGTTCAGGACACATCATTGCATTTTGAATCAGAAAGTAGGCTGGCGATCTTTGAAGTCTCGTAGATCAATGCATTGCACACTTTTTGTCTATAAAGCTCTCTTCCATAAACTTCCGCCATACCTTACCTCATTGTTAACTTTCAGACGTATACATTTCCAGACCCGGACTCAGGGATGCCTAACCCTGGAGATCCCTTCAATCTCCACCATGTTAGGTAAATCTGCTTTTAGTTTTTTTGCGCATCTCATGTGGAATGATCTCCAAAACACCTTATAGTTGGTGGAATTGGTACCTCTAGGGCAATTAGAGGGCCTTTTTACTGAATAATGTGTTGTTTCATATAATTGTGTTTTCCTTTTCATGGTTTGTGCTTGCTTTTCATGTATCGTGTAATTGATGTGTATATACACTGAGTGTACAAAACATTAAGAACAACTCTATTTCCATGACATAGACTGACCAGGTGAATCCAGCTGAAAGCTATGATCCCTTATTGATGTCACTTGTTAAATCCACTTCAATCAGTGTAGCTAAGTGGGAGGAGACAGGGGAAAGAAGGATTTTTAAGCCTTGAGACATGGATTGAGTACATGTGCCATTCAGAGGGTGAATGGGCAAGACAAAATATTTAAGTGCCTTTGAACGGGGTATGGTAGTAGGTGCTGGGTGCACTGGTTTGTGTCAAGAACTGCAACGCTGTTGCAACTCAATATTTGGAAAGTGTTCTTAATGTTTTGTACACTCAGTGTAGATATGTGTAGTGTAATTGTTGTTTATTGATGTGTTCATGCAGGGCTCATCTGCAAAAGAAACCGTGGTTTCATCATGACTCCCTGGCTAAATAAAGGTTAAAAATTGTAGTTCCAATTCAAATGGTCCTAGATCAGTTAACGTTTAGTAACCTGTTTCACATTTGATTCAAGGACAGATTTGTTATGTAGTTCCAAATGGTTCTTCTAAGGATCCTATGTCAGTTAAGAGGTAGTTAGTAACCCAAGCTCATCCGTGCTCGGATCTCTTCCTGCTTGGTGCCACCATAGTTGAGTTGGATCATATGACATCATTGGCCAGTCCCTCTGATCAGGACCTAGCTGTGATCTGTAATAATATGCACTGCATAGGGAGATCAAAGGTGAGATGTTAATCTGTTGGTCATGTGATGTTGTGGACTGCGCTCATGTCAGTAGTTAACAGGTGGTGGAGTGTCTTCCTGTAGATACTGGAGCCATAATATGTACTCATGTCAACTAGTGAACAGTTGACATGAGAACATATGATGGAAGTATACAGGAGTCACATTGTTCACTAGTTGACATGAGACCGTCTGAGCGTGAGAGCATCTGAGCGTGCGTCTAATTTACAGTCTTAAGCTTACCGTATGCTTCCCAGTCTAAATAGTTCACACATATATTATAACTACATTTTGTTAAATTTCTGTTCGTTTTGGTGTTCGGCAGCGTTCGGCAGGTTTCTTTTTTCTTGAGGCTAGCCAAAGTTTGGCAGCCAAAGTTTACGCCCCTTTGTCGGTGATTGGTCAACTGTAGGGATTCTTCAATGAAGTATTTGTTGTCATTCAACGACAGATGACTAGTTTTCATGCACATGTTTTCACTTGAGAAATACTGCACTGAACATCTTAGTTAGATGTACAATTTTGCAACTAAGACCTCCTCTGCAAAAACTTCAAAATTAATGACAGATTTCTTGATTTATCTTAGATTGATATAGACTATTTTAAGGAAGTGTTACTGTGTTATTGCTATGGCGTCTCAAGAGGGACAAACAGTAATATTGCCGCTTTTTTCTCGTTTTTCAAGCGAATGTCTTTTTAAGGGAGTATGCCGGTTTCCACTAGTTATCACAACCTTAACCACAGCCCTTTTTGGTCTTAATTTAAGGTTAGGGTTAGGCATAAGGCTAGCAGTGTAGTTAAGGCTAGTGTTAAGGTTAGGTTTAAAATCACATTTTAAGTAGAGAAATTGTAGAAATAGGTGGGGTTTCTGACTTTGTGGCTGTGGTAACTAGTGACAACTGAGTATGCGAGGCACAAACGTTCAAATCCAATCAAACTGTATTTGTCACATGCGCCGAATACAGCTGTTGTAGACTTTACCTTGAAATGTTTGCTTACAAGCCCTTCCCAAAGATGTAGAGTTGAAAAAATATATGCTATCTAGAACCTAAAAGGGTTCTTCAGCTGTACCCATAGGAGAACCATTTGAAGAACCCTATTTGGTTCCAGGTAGAACATTTTGGGTTCCATGTATAACCCTTTCCACAGAGAGTTCTACATGGAAACCAAAAGGGTTTTACCTGGAACCAGAAATGGTTCGGCCTGGAGCCAAAAAGGGTTCTCCTATGGGGACAGCCAAAGAACCCTATTGGAACCCTTTTTCTAAGAGTGTAGTCTAGTGAGTGTGCGTAGGGTCAGTGCAAGATAGAGTCAGTGCAGATCATTCTGCTAGGAGCAAACCGAACCTAGTATGCCTTTAGGAGTTTGGGCAAGCTAACTGAATGGCCCCTAACATTTCAAACTACATTTAGATTTAGATGTTTATTGAGATTAAGAGCTTTTTCCCAGGAATTAAATAAATTAAAACCGTCTGGTAACCTCAATTTCCAACCTTCATCATGTGAGTGATGAATAGGAGTTGGAAGGATGGCATCAAAAGAGACTAAGGCCTAGATTCAATCAGATCAAGTGTTAACCGGCGATAGCCGACACCCGCATAGTTAATGCATTGGAGCTGTCAAATCAGTGAGCAGCTGCTCTTGATCATTGTCACGAGCCCAACTCGAGTTAGAAGTTCAGAACGAGAAAGTGTAAGCTATATTGAAATAATGATTTAAAATCATGAAATGAAATAATGAGGATTTCTATCAGCCTAATCGATGTGTAGATTACATCTCACATTCCGGTGTTCAAAGGCTGCATGGGCTTTCTCTTAATGCGACTCCGGGCAGCCAATGGCAATGTCCGCTTTAAGTATAATGCCAGGAGCCACTTGTGGATTTGACAGCTCTAATGCAGCTCCACCTCCAACACCGCCAAAACAATCGCTATGCAGATGTCGGCTAATGATTGAATAGAGCCCTAACTGTCTGGTTGTGAAGTAGGCAAAGTACAACGGAGACAAAAAATTGTCATAAAATATATTTATTCAACTGATAAAACTTCCACTTCCAAAAACAGCAAGACTTACTCCCAGGGTGGCCCTTTAATTGTGCTTGGCATAAGGCTTTTAAAGTCAATTTCATTATCAAATACAATCATCCTTTTTTGACAGACATGATTCATAGTTTCACTTGCATTCTCTTTTTTGTTTTGTTGAATTAGCATATTCTGTGGTCCCAAAATTAAAGGTGACCCTTCGTCATTCGTAATCTGGCCTAAAAGGACCTGACACCCCGCTAACACTACAAAGCTTATCAGTTGGCGGGTTGATTCTTCCTTGGCTGTAGTGCCCTATGGCATCACACAAGGCGACTGTGCGTTTGAAACATTACAACAACACAATACATAGGGGCTTGTTAAACAATGCATAGGGGGATATTCCATTACACAATTCATAACATCTGAAAAGGGTCATAACCTAACCCTCCTGTTGTCATATCATCAAGACAATACTACAAGTACAGAGGAGCCTTCGGTTGCAAAACACAATTCAGGAATCACTTAAAAAATGAAAAAAGACATCCATTAATATTGCTAATAACACCAAGAGGAACAAACAAATAAACCAAATTATTGAAGATGAGGCTTTGCTATATAAACCCAGAAAAGCAAAGCCATTGTCATGACAGAGCTCAGTAGCTAACAGTTGTAGCTGTAACCTCCTATGATGTGTGTGTGCATGAATGTATGTCAATGTGTGTGTCTGTACACTGTGTATGCACTGTGGGCACGCTTAGTATGAAAATCAATGAGCAGGTCAATGCCTGTAGGCCTGTGTGTGTGTGTGTGTGTGTGTGTGTGCGTATATATATATATATGTGTATGTGCCAGAGGGGTATTTTCTGGTTCGATCGGGTGTGATGGAAGCGACCGCTGTGTTCCATTAAGCTGCCCTGATCCTGAGGCAGGCAGTCAATCAGAGATTACAGACAGACTGGCAGTGTGTGTGTGTGTGTGTGTGTGTCTGGCCCTATTCACAGATGGTGAAGCAGTTTCATCCATCCAAGGCCTGTCACTGACTGCTAGTCAGGTCTGCTTGTCTTTCTCCAACTGAATCATCTATGACATTATCCCAGCTATATTTCTATATTCTTAGCCTCTTCGCAAGCTTTGTTTGTTTGTTGACGCATCCTATCTCTCTATCTATGAAAAACTACAGAGCCCAGTAGCTGTCTACAACATTGGCACCGGAGGCAAAATCCCGGTAAATCTGTCACATTATAGCCACCACTGTGGAGTGCTTGTCTTGTGTACATCAGGGCTTCTCTGGATGGTTATCGCTCAAGAGAGGCGACAGGAAAGGAGGGATTTTGTTCTTCAAAAAAATTTAAAATGCTCTGAGGCTTAATGCAGGGGAGGCACGCCTGGGTGTCTCACTAAGCAGAGGGGGAAGGGGGATTGGGGGGCAGGGGGATTTATTTGAAGGATGCACGCACAGCGCGGCCCTTGAGGGGCTGAGGGGGGCGGTAGTTGTCCACCATGCAGCAGGCGGCTTCACCCTCTCCGGAGAAGAGCAGGCTCCGGAATTTGCCCATCTGTCAGAGGAGAAAGGAGAGAGAGGAGATAGAGTTATACTCCTTACCTCCTGTCCCTATCACTCACTCCAATACATCTCCAGTCATACAGTTTGTAGCCTTCATCAAGTAAATCAAAGGTTGTGTGGGACTTCTCTATTTAAATGATTTTCCTAAATAGTGATTCATGGAACTAAGCTTAGTGTCTTTCTGTTGATGCTTAAGTCTGACAAAGAGATTGAGGTACAGTCAAATGACCCATCTAAGAGATTTGCCATTAATTTTGGCCAATAAATTAGTAAGAGGTCACAAGTTCATGGCTACAGCCATTGGACATACTGTAAAGTACATAGTGCACACAAGACTACTTTCAACCCCTGAAACAAGTCTATCTTATTTATCAACCTCAGGGGTTGAATAACATTTGAACATAAGGGGAGACAAGTAAGTTCTTATTAGACTAATATCCACCCAAATATTCTAATCTTCAAGTAGCTTCTAATAGTGCGTCATTAGCTACTGATAAGCGCTTAATACAGTGTTCCCTCTTCTGAAGTGTTACTGTTACCATTCATGATATTTACTGTATGAATAATTTATTTGATATCATATCTTATGTCTCTGCCTAGTACGGCACCCCCTCTAAAGCCTATGTACACATTTCCCTGTTCACCCTTGAGACGCCCAGGCAAAGGTATTAAATAAACATTTGACTGGGCAGTGTTAATTTTCACATAGTCACAAGTGAGTCAAGCCACAAGGGCAGGGTTTAGAGAAGATGTGGGCTGCCATTTTACAGGAACTTCCAACATGACTATGCTTGTATGAAAATGTGTGGGTTGAGGTTAAAGTAGGAGAATTTTCAAGTCCACTAGAAATAAACAGACCTCCCACATACTACTTTATTTTCTTTTTTTAGAAAAATAGGATGCCAACAGAACGTCCAGCTGGACAGGCACGTAGGAATCTTTTCAGTTTTGGTGGAGAACTGGGAACGACCTCAAAGACCTGGAATCTTGGAAGGACATGTGTCCCATTACTCTAAAATAGTAGAAAAGACTGCAGAAATAGCAGTCAGATACCTCTCAACTATCAAATCCTCTTATCTACAATACATTTTAGTTGTCAAGTAGACTATTTTATCAAGGAAGAGATTAAGAAAGGACGCTATTCCAGACTATTGGAACAAAGCCAGCATACTGTAGCTGCAGAGTGTAAATTCAACCCCTTACTACTCAATGAGCTCACGTGACCTATCGTACCTGGGCAGGGCTGACGCTGATTGACTCCTTGCAGACAATCCAGGTGACACTCTCCAGCAGAGGGGGTGTGGTCAGGGAGCCGTCGTAAGTCCAGTAGTCTAGGGACTTGGGGAGCAGGATGGTGGGGTCAAAGTTCTCAAAAGAGGTCTGCTTGCCCTGTAAACAAAGAGGGAGGCAACGGCAAGTTCACATCAGCAGGTCAATGATTGGCTCAGAGAATGACTGGTTCCATGCTAGCAGTAGCACCACTTAGAATGCTAGCTCCAGATAGACTTACCTTGGCTTTAATGGCATCAAAAGCATCAAGGACCTTCTGAAGATTGGCATTTTCATTTCCAACCTAACCAGACAAATTCAACACACATAAATGGCAAATAATAATGTTAATTTAAACAAAATATTGCGCTTGAAAATATATTTATATTATCTTTAACTAGTAAACTAAGTCAAAACAATTGAAGGTATACAGCAAAATGGCTGAGTCCATTGCTACACACCTGGAGGAAGACTCCTACAACAGCAAGGCCATCAGACTGGCTAGCAGCATCACCAAAACTGGGGTACTTGGTGTTCCAGTGCACCAGGTGGAGCTAAAATAAAGAAATAGGACACAAGCAGTGAGCAACCCTAAGGAGTATTTTCTTACCACCAGGCCTTAGGTCTTTTGTACAGTGGGGTTTAGGGGTTTAGACCAATTTGGAAGTTGCATGCCTGAGGCTTTTGTTGAATTACATAATGATTTAGTGAAAAGCAGGGTTGAAGTCAATTCCATTTCACCAAAGTCAATTCAGGAAATACATGGAAATTCGATTCACAAATTCGCAGAAATTCCTCATTGAATGTCATGGGAACATTTTCACTCCATGAACTGAAAGTTCACTGACCCTTATAAGTCATTTATGGAAAAAACTAAAAAAAAACATATTGATGGCTTGCCAAATACTGTATGTTGCACTACTAATGCATACCATTCAAACTTTGGTGTTGAAACTAAGGGATTCAAACCAAGTGTGTGTGACCAGTGTCAGTACCTCAGCAGCATACTTGGTCCCGGCCACAGTGTGCTCAGAACCCCTGTCGTCGCTGGCGCCCCAGTGGAAGTGGAACTGCTTTAGCCTGTACGTCCCTGAAATGGGCCCCCCTGTCAGAGCTGCCAACAGAACACAGAAAACAAAGACGTTAACACGTATAAGTGCAATGGGTCAACCTGTTATGGGCCCCGAGTTAGTACTACCTACACCAGTTTAAGTCCACTTTGTGTAATAGCACTACAAGACTTGCATGTACAAAACACATGAGATGTTCACATTTTGAACAGGATCATTATGCATTCATAATAAGATTTCAAAATACACCATGTTCCTTTCCTTTCTTTTTTTACTGAGCTAACATCTCTTTTAATCTTTGGTCCATGATGAAAATGTGTCACAAGACACAATGCGATGAGTTGTCTTGACCGGTATAATGTTAATATTAACAGAGCAATGCAAAAGCCGCTCTTGTGTCACTGCCACCCCCACCCCTCCCCCCACACTAGCACACAGACGTCCTGTTCGATGGAAGCAGCAGACTCAGTTCCTGTTGCGTTATCCAGACCCAAAAGCAGCAAACCCAAGGTCATCCTAAGATACTTTCCAGGTATTGTTCCTTTGACATAGTCATCTATTTATACCAATGTAGTGGCAGCAGGTAATCCTTGACTAATTAGTCTATTTTCATCTCACGTGATGTCACAGTTGATGCTGACAGACTAGGCTATAGCCTATAGGTGCTCTTTTAACAGGATTTTTAGGACATGATTCACAACAGTTGGTTCTGCTTGATAAGGTAGAGACTTATCTGACAAGTAGCAAAGGGAGTGAGTGTGTGAGTGTCTACAGGTTTCTAATGTAGGATTACATTATGAGACTGAGATTGACCACACCCTGTGGTTAGACAGACTACAGCTATGATGGTGTAATTTCCAATGTAGGCCTACACACAGACAGGTATGACTAACAGTCATTCTTTCTTTCAGGCATAAGCTTATATTTGTGTTTGAATATGAACTTGGCATTCAATTTCAATTAGCTTCAATTAAGTTAACACAACAAACATGATACATTTACCCTCTGAGCTCCCCTGTAAGCACTAAGGCGATCAAAAATACTGGCGATCAAAAATACTGATGTAAAGGATTACCAATTCAATATCCAAAATCCTATACCAAGCCACCTGACATATAGGCAGGCCTAATGCTGCATTTAATAGGGTGCTAGGATCACATGCCATCAGTGATTACAGAGACAATATAATCTATTGTGTAACAACTCTCAGGAATATAAAAATGCAACATCTTATATTAAGATTCAGAATGAGTAGTTTATAAATTTCTCACACCAATATTTTATCAAAATGAATGGGAAATCCCCCCCAAAAATGTAGTATTTTTTTTCTTCTGGATTTGGTTGTCATTACATTTTTGCACTGTATTAGGCAATAGCCTATTATTAATCGAATTATAATGACAGCAAAACGAGTAAAATATAATAATGTTGTACTTTGTTACTAAAAACATTCCCATTCACTCCTGACACATTAATGGTTAACCAGACTCAGTTCTATTTGCATAAACTGACCTTCTCCTTTTTTGCGCTAATGACCCCTCTTCCAGTCTAAAGGTTTTACGTGCAGGGAAAGGTTTGTGAGGGGTTGCGTTACCAATTCCATTACCTACTATTGTTTTCATGTCATAGTGTGGGTAGTGAATGAATATAGTCTCATCCAGCCCTATTCCATGACGATAATATTTGTTATAATATTTGTTACTTTGTAAATGTATAAATGTATGAATTATTAATGTTAAAGAAGTGCACAAAGTATCCACAACTGCAAGATACCATTTCGAGACACCTGTCATGACGCATGCATAAAGATTGACACTAACTTGAGTTGTCGTTGTCGTCGGCGTAGGTCACTTGAAAGGAATGTCCGTTGTTGAGAATGTCAATGGAGGTGGAAGGGTCGTACTTCAACGTGAGCGCCTTCAAGGCTGCGTCGAAGGCAGCCTCCCCAGGTACAATGTCAATGGGAGACTGGCGGGGTCCGTTGGCAATTGGGAAGCCTTCACACCATTTGTCGGGTCCTATAATGACAGTGGGGACATTGCATTTGGAGACAATAATACAGTATCTGTCAAAAATGTAGTCTACGTCAATTATTGCTTTCCAATGACATAGAATATTTTCGATAATCTTGCAGCTCGCTGTAACGGGGTGAGATTGTTATGACGCACGGTAGCCTAATAGCAATGTCAAAGAGGGATGCATAAAAATACATGTAGACAATGATTCATCAATGCATGACCGTTGTGTTTTCATTCATTCATCGGACAGTATATGCTGTACTACAGGTCCCTTTTAATGTCATGATAAGAACAGAGCACAAGCGCCTCACCATTGTCCGGTGCGTATCCCCATGCATGAGACATTGTTACTATTTGGGTATCTAGTGCTGTAAATCCCCCAAAATTGCGTCGCTCCGGAGTGCAAACAGCCAGTGTCCTCCACTTGACAACTGTCAGAGCTTATATAGGCTCCCTGTGGATTGCGTGTTTCGCAATGCGTGTAGGAGCGGGAGGAGTTAGAAGCACAATCGATCGATGATCCCAGACTGTGTGTGTGTGTGTGTGTGCGCGGCACCACATATGTTGTGAGTAGCCGCCTCGCTATACATCCAGCGCTCCTTCATCCAAATCACTTGCCACTGGAAGGCGAGACACAAGCTGTATGGATATTCCCGAGCAGTACCATGTGCAATAACTCTTTGATGTTGAGCCTTCCACTTCCTAAACTCAAACGCTACAATTGCATTTTGAGTACACACACACACACTCAGGGGGAGAGAGAGATAACTCAAGAGTCCTTTCTTCCCTTCCCGTTTAATGATGAACATGACCATAATTGTCGATAGACTATAGAACTATTTTTTAAAATATATATATTGAGCGTTTAGTCTATGTGGTATTCACGTACTTTAGGTGAAATTATTTATTGCATAGAGCCAGTGGCGATTTTAACGTGTACATCTTGGTGGGGCAAACAAAACAAAAAAAGTTGGATGCATGCCAGCAAAGCCACTACACAACACAACACTAAACAATATATTAATTGCACTATAACGGTGACAAACGGTGCCCACACACTGTTAGGGCCTACATAAAGTTGTCCCAACAGCAGAGTCCCAACACCTTACCACTGCTGCACCAGTATCAGCGGAGCCTTGTCTGCCAGTGAAACAGTTCATTCAGCCTAATTTACTACCTTTTAAAAAACATAGCTGATATGGCTGACTTGCTTTAACAAATGTGGTTTCTACTGACAATTGAGATGTACAAACTATGGCATAAGGGGACAACAAGCGGATAAGAGGCAATCTGTAATTTCAATTAAGACATTCATGAGTGAGCTAGGACAGAGGTAGTCAATATAACTATTTGTTCAGCACTTTAAAATGTACAGCCACAGAATTTAGAACATGGGCCGTTCTTACAGTGTTCTCCCTGTACACCAAGTCAGAACCGTAGGATAAATAAAGGGGGCATATAAGCAGACAATTAAATCTCTTACAATATTCAATGATTACATTCCTCTAAAACAGGTTATAGGCTACATGTGCACCACCAAGTCAGAACAGTAGGCAAAATTAAGAGTGGAAAATAGACTAAATTATTAGGGTGAGGCACATGGGCTACTAACAGCTTACTACACAACATACACTTAGTATTACTTTCTTAGCTACAGTATACATATCTCCCTGGCATATTACATCATTTATGCAGCAGCAGACAAGACATTTTTGGACTCAACTTGTGCTGTGCTCACTTGAACAGGAAGGTGGCGCGGCGGTCCTTTGGTCCTTCGTGGGCAAATTTTGTCATCAAACTTTGTCATCAAAGTCTGCCATTCTCTGGATCTACGGTACTTAAGACAAATGGGAACTCTGAAAGAAAAAACAAGGTAGAATCATGATGACGTCTGTGATCTTCAGGTCGTAGCTCTAGAAAGAGGCCCGAGTTCCGGATGTACAATTCCGAGTTGGATGACCGTTTCCCAGTCGGAGCTCGATTTTCCGGAGTTCCCAGTTGTCTTGAACTCACTGAAGTCAGATTTCGCAGTTCCGAGTTAACAGTTGTTTTGAGCCGGCACAAATCATGCTTCATTGACAGCATGGCCAATATTGAATGTTTATCATTTTAAACATGGAAAAGAGACCCTTAATCCCAGACTTAGGACCACACAGTCACTCCACTGAATAGCAGGCTAGTGATTGCTTTGCAATGCTTGCAGTTAGCCACTGATTCCTTCCAAACCACTCATTGTTGAAGTTGCGATTTCCAACTTGTTGTGTAATGTTTATGTCCAATGACCGATGAGCTCCAATACGTTTTATCTATAATTTCTCTACATTATTTCTCTTCATATGACAAAGATTAAAAAGGATTTGCCAGTAGATAGTCGACTTGATTCATGATGATGACTGCTAGCTAAGATTTTGAAAGTATGGTGTTGACATGATCAGTCCAATCAAAGCTACTATAGATATAATGTGATTTCCCGTCATTTTATCTGTGGCCAATGACCTTGAGCCTTCTTGGATGGCATTTCTAATGTAACTCTATGTCAGCACCCAAGGGGCTTGCATTTTCGAGCTCTACCCTTAGACTTGGCGGTGAAGTAGTGTCCCCATGAGTGACAGAACACTGAGCCAATCACTGCGCAACTAGATAACTTTTTTTTTTTTTTTTTACATTGTTTGCAAACTGATATGTGACATGTATTAATGCCAAACAGGCAAGCCCCCAAATTTCATTTTTTATTTATTTTTAGCTACAAATGTGGGGCTCAGCCCCACCTGCGCTGAATGACGGGTCGCCACTGCATAGAGCAGATGGAATTATTGTATATTATTGTCTCAGGTGGATGTTTTTCATTTACACCTAGCCCCAGGGCTACAGTAGTATATAATTACTTGTATTAGTCTATTGATCATGTTTAGGCCTACGTTATGACATTTTGCCTAGACTGAGAACAGTTAAGTATCTATCTGTATCCTAGTTTTTCTTTAATATTATAGACAGACTAACATATTTTCTAATATGCTGAAAATGCAAAAAATAACAGTGTTGCTTAAAACCCCTTTATAAAAGTGATAGGCTTCCCACTGGGCACACATTAGTTGAATCAACGTTTCCACGTCATTTCGTTGACCAATGTGGAATAGATGTTGAATTGACGTCTGTGCCCGGTGGGTTAACTCCGCCACTGAGTACACAAAACATTAAGGACACCTGCTCTTTCCATGACATAGACAGACCAGGTGAACGCTATGATCCCTTATTGATGTCACTTGTTAAATCCACTTCAAATCAATGTAGATGAAGGGGAGGAGACAGGTTAAAGAAGGTGTTCCTAATGTTTAGCGTACTCAGTGTACGCTCATGGACTCTGATGAAAGTGTATCTGCGGCGATACGTTGCTGTCATCTGGCGGTCATAATGAGAAAGCAAATGTTTTTGTAGCTGCTGCTGCCAGTGCACTCTGTCTTGCTAGCCGAAAACTGCAACCACCTCAGCATCGAAGGAAACGAGAACGGTCAAAGAATGATACGATCATGTCCTCAGATAAAATACATGTATTGCATAAAGGCTGTAGAATAACAACATGAGGCATAACATAACCCCGATCATTTTTGTGCTACTTCTCTTACCCAGCGTGGATTCAGCGCGGACAGCGTGGAAATCCAGCGCATCATGGGGGCGTTTCAATCTGCTGTCTTCGCGAACACTGATTGGTTCAGATTTAGTCGCATCTAAATTGCGTCAATCTCAGTTGCATCAACACGTTTTACAGTTGCCGAAGTCTTCCAATTCTTGAGGTTCGTATATATTGTTCTTCGAGTTTATCTAGCTTTGTGGATTCACATATTGAACGCACGTGATGTTACTGTATTTCGTTATATATTGTGACAACATAAGCTAATAAATTGTATGATCACAACGGGTCGGTCTGAGGTAGTTTAACTACCTCTAGCTAGTTAGCAACCTTGCTAACAACAGACGTTTGTTCTCTTTGAAATTATAGGTAATCATGGCGAAGAATAAACAAAAAGGCAAAAGGCAGCAAAATGTGTTCCGAGTGGCCAACAAACAGACAAAACAAAAGAATAAAGCAAAACCTGTCACTTCAACTCTCAAACACGTAAGTGGAAAATGGTAGGTAGCTACCTACCATCTTAGTTAGCCAGCTAGCTAGCTAATAGGCTTCACACAGTAGGGTGTCCAATCAAAAACGCATCTTTTGACCAATGGGTAAAATGTTAATTGTGTAGATAATTCCATAAGAAAACCAATGCCAATGGTCCAAACCTCATGTCTCCATCATAATCCGTTTAAAAGTTATTGGAGTTTTTACCGTTGTAGAATGGCCAAAATTAGGGTGACTATATAAATGGAGGCCAGAGGAAAAAAGTGGTCAAAAATCAGGAAAATTGCGTCACGTCAACCAGGCTGGATTCTGTACAAGAATGAAAGCTGCAATATTAAACTTTTTGGGCAAACTGACCACGTTCACATTGATAGATCTATAACTCACATGTCTTTCTCATTGAAAGCAAGTATAAAGTGGTAGTTCTGTTCTATGTGGCTATTTCTACGCTTCCCATTCTTAAGTTTCGTTTTTGCTTCTTTTACTTTCTGTGTTGTACACTAGTTTCAAACAGCTGAAAATACAATTTTTGGTTATGGAAAATATATTTCACAGCGGTTTAGATGGTACAATGACTCTCTATACTATACTTGCTTGTTTAGTCACAAACTGAAATTGGTTATACTAATAGAATTTTTGCAACCAGGAAATGGGCGGAGCGATTTCTGCAGAGTGCATCTTTAAGGTTACTGGCTACCTGACACTGACAGGCTCTCTTTGCAATTTAACTTTTCATATTTCTTCTCGAATCCGCAGGACATAAAACAATAGAGGTAAGATTTTGAGACACGACATGTAGTATTTTCATATTTTAGTATATGCTTTTCATATTAATTCGAAATTCCTGTTATTTTTCCTAGATCTCACAAAAACAAGCTAAAAATGTAAACGGAGCACTGAGCGTATACCAAACTTAATTTGAAAGTCTTTCACATTCCTATCAGCTCACGTCATGCAAATGTCGCTATTTGCCACCAGCGGAAACAACTTTGAAGATGACGACAATGTAAAATCCTAAGAAGTTGTTACTAAAAACCTACACCGCTATGTCAACACAGCTTGGCACTTATTATCGGATGTATTACCGTAACATTTCAATTAAATGCCGAATCTCAAAAAGGCGCCTGTCCCTTTTAATAGCTGGGCAACGGCACACATTGCACAACATCGGGTCTAAATTAATTGTTTACGAGGTTCCCATTAATTACGAAGAATTGTTTATGACATTCCATGGAGGGCATAGTGTCTGCGGGTTTTTGGTATTTCCTTTCAATTAAGAACTAGACAACCAGGTGAGGGAGTTCTTTACTAATTATTGACCTTAATTCATCAATCAAGTACAGTAATGAATCGAAAAAAAATATGGCGTTTTTATCGCCAGTAAGAAACTGCTAGCCGTTGGCTGCTAACAGCTGAGAACTGCTAGCTAACTGGCAAGCAGGAAAACAGTCAACTTCAGGAGTACAGACCCCTAGAAATCGGCAGATGGCCATCTAGTGGGAAAGTAAGAACTGCCAAAAATGCAATCAGAGGGGAATTCTTTTTTTGTTAAACTAGAGTCATACTAAGACAAAAGAAACGTGACACAGTGTGTAAATGATAACACATTAGTTCAGGAAATGAAGAAATTGATTAAAATACTGGAAGTGAATCCTGGAATTAAACAATTAACTATGCAAATTAGCAAAAGATGTGTGCATTAGAAAAATAAATGCCATGCTCATATAGAAGCTTGTCTCTAAAGCAGTGTTCACATTGGCAGTTTGAAGAGACTCAAATCCTATTTATTTAAATATCTGATTCGACTTTTTCCTGCAGTCTGAACAGCCATAAGGCACATGGAATCAGATATTTCAAGCCACATTTCAAACCACCTTCATTTGTGGTTTGAAGTCAGATACAAATCTGATTCCTGGCCATGTGACTTGTCTGAACGGTCAAATCTGATTTAATTGCCCTCAAGTGGTTTTTAGATAGTTATTCGGCATATCTTGTTGCTTGCTAGCTACTCTGTTGACAGTTTGACAAGAACATGTGGTAGCTAACTAGCTTGTTAATTGTTTACAAACAAATTAGTGAATGTGCTAGAAAACTAAACAGCTGGCTAGTTGACTGATGTGGCTAGCCAAAAAGGACTTGTTTTGAAAGTTGGATCATCTTATCCTTTGAGGCTTAGCTTGCTACATAACTTCTGAGTGATAGGAAGCACAAGCACCACCACCAATCAGCCTACACCACTGCACACACACCTGGTGTTACTATGACAACTAGCGTAGCCTTGTCAGCAAATTACTGCTGTCTGAACACACATCCGATTTGGTCACTTTTAATTTGCTGTTTGGACAGTCGGTAGTTAAAAACGGATCTGAAAAACAAAACTTAGTTGAGCATTAAGGCCTGCAGTGTGAGCAAGGCTTAATAAGCGCCTGATGTGTTATGTGATTTAAGCAAATAAACGCCCGGGCTATTCATTGAAATTTTATGGTAGGTTGCGAAATCCGAGTTTTTAGATGTAACGTTAATGATACAGTATGTTACGTTTGGTATGGTTACATAACATAGTTTACTTAGAGTGCATTCGATAAGTATTCAGACCCCTTGACGTTTTCCACATTTTGTTACATTACAGCTTTATTCTAAAATTGATGAAATTGTTTTTTTCCTCGTCAATCTACATTTTAGTCATTTAGCAGATGCTCTTATCCAGAGCGACTTACAGTTAGTGAGTGCATACATTATTTTATTTTTCATACTGGCCCCCCGTGGGAATCGAACCCACAACCCTGGCGTTGCAAACGCCATGCTCTACCAACTGAGCTACATCCCTGTCGGCCATTCCCTCCCCTACCCTGGGCCAATTGTGCGCCGCCCCATGGGTCTCCCGGTCGCGGCCGGCTACGACAGAGCCTGGATTCGAACCAGGATCTCTAGTGGCACAGCTAGTACTGCGATGCAGTGCCTTAGACCACTGCGCCACTCGGGAGAATCTACACACAATACCCCATAATGACAAAGCAAAAACAGGTTTTTAGAAATGTTTGCTAATTTATAAAAAATAAAAACGGAAATATCACATTTTACATAAGTATTTAGACCCTTTACTCAGTACTTTGTTGATGCACCTTTGGCAGCGATTACAGCCTCGCCTTCTTGGGTATGACACTACAAGCTTGGCACACCTGTATTTGGGGAGTTTCTCCCATTCTCCTCTGCAGATCCTCTCAAGCTCTGTCAAGTTGGATGGGGAGCGTCGCTGCACAGCTATTTTCAGGTCTCTCCAGAGACGTTAGATCGGGTTCAAGTCCGGGCTCTGGCTGGACCACTCAAGGACATTGACACTTGTCCCGAAGCCACTCCTGCGTTGTCTTGGATGTGTGCTTAGGGTCATTGTCCTGTTGGAAGGTGAACCTTCGCCCCAGTCTGAGGTGCTGAGCACTCTGGAGCAGGTTTTCATGAAGGATCTCTCTGTACTTTGAGCCGTTCATCTTTCCCTCGATCCTGACTAGTCTCACAGTCCCTGCCTCTGAAAAACATCCCTACAGCATGATACTGCCACTATAATGCTTCACCGTAGGGATGGTGCCAGGTTTCCTCCAGACGTGACGCTTGGCATTCAGGCCAAATAGTTCAATATTGGTTTCATTACAGTCATTTTTAGCAGACGCTCTTATCCAGAGCGACTTACAGGAGCAATTAGGGTTAAGTGCCTTGCTCAAGGGCACATCGACAGATTTTTCACCTAGTCTGCTCGGGGATTAGAACCAGCGACCTTTCGGTTACTGGCACAACGCTCTTAACCACTAAGCTACCTGCCGCCCTGCTGCAGAGATGGTTGTCCTTCTGGAAGGTTCTCCCATCTCCACAGAGGAACTCTGAAGCTCTGTCAGAGTGACCATCGGGTTCTCGGTCACCTCCCCTCATCAAGGCCCTTCACCCCTCATCAAGGCCCTTCACCCCCGATTGCTCAGTTTGGCCGGGCGGGCCAATTCTAGAAGGAGTCTTGGTGGTTCCAAACTTCTTCCATTTAAGAACACAGGCCACTGTGTTCTTGGGGACCTTCAATGCTGCATACATTTTTTGGTACCCTTCCCCAGAGCTGTGCCTCAACAAAATCCTGTCTCTGAGCTTTACGGACAATTTCGACCTCATGGCTTGGTTTTTGCTCTGGCATGCACTGTCAACTGTGGGACCTTATATAGACAGGTGTGTGCTTTTCCAAATCATGTCCAATCAATTGAATTTACCACAGGTGGACTCCAATCAAGTTGTAGAAACATCTTAAGGATGATCAATGGAAACAGGATGCACCTGAGCTCAACTTCTCTTAACCCTAACCTTAACCCTTAGCTAGCTAACGTTAGCCACCTAGGTAAAGTTAGCCACAACAAATTGGTATTTGTAACATATCACACGTTTTACAAATTCGTAACATATTGTACAAATTGCAATTCGTAAACATATCATACGAAATGGATGATGGACATCCACAAATTAATTAATACGAAACCTAACATATCATACTAAATGTAGTGTCTCAGATTTACGTACAGAATAATATGACATGCTCTGAGACCATCTTGGGGATCACCTAGCTACAACTGCTGTTTTCCAGGTTCCCTCATTTTCTGTGTAATCATTTCTTGATGGTGTTTCTCCAATTAATCCCATTGGAGTCATAGACTAGTTTCATTTTGACTGAATTCATTGAAAGAGAGAATTCACCCACAATGCCATAAAGTGTTCTTACCTTGTAAGCATTCAGCTGGCCACTGTCTCCAAATGCTAACTTTTTACTTGGCAAACTTTACTTGGTGATACTTCCTCAATTTACTTGATTTGGAAAGCTCTGGTGTTTTATAATCTCCTGTGGCTAGTTGCCCGTTAAACCCTGACACTCAGCAAATGCTCTGTGAGAAAAAGGACTGCAACAGGTAGGTGTCGTCTCACCGTAAAACGGTTGTTCCTGAAGGCTAACTTATCCGTCTTGTATGTGTATTGTGCAAGGGTAGTATTTCACACAGTTGCTGACAACTGTTTTCTTTCTTTGTATACAGATCAATGCAGTGAAAAACGAGAAGGTGGAGAACCTGAATAAAATATTTACAGAGGTCCAACGGGATGTCAAAAGTGTATCAAAATGCACTGCTCCAGAGCCCAGAAAGCCAACACAGGTAAGGTTAAACTGAGAATTAATGGATAACCTGACAGAGAGTTGAGTGTGCTGAGTACAGTGAGGGGAAAAAAGTATTTGATCCCCTGCTGATTTTGTACGTTTTCCCACTGACAAAGAAATTATCAGTCTATAATTTTAATGGTAGGTTTATTTGAACAGTGAGAGACAGAATAACAACAAAGAAATCCAGAAAAACGCATGTAAAAAATGTTATAAATTGATTTGCATTTTAATGAGGGAAATAAGTATTTGACCCCCCTCTCAATCAGAAAGATTTCTGGCTCCCAGGTGTCTTTTTATACAGGTAACGAGCAGAGATTAGGAGCACACTCTTAAAGGGAGTGCTCCTAATCTCAGTTTGTTACCTGTATAAAAGACACCTGTCCACAGAAGCAATCAATCAATCAGATTCCAAACTCTCCTCCAAGGCCAAGACCAAAGAGCTCTCCAAGGATGTCAGGGACAAGATTGTAGACCTACACAAGGCTGGAATGGGCTACAAGACCATCGCCAAGCAGCTTGGTGAGAAGGTGACAACAGTTGGTGCGATTATTCGCAAATGGAAGAAACACAAAAGAACTGTCAATCTCCCTCGGCCTGGGGCTCCATGCAAGATCTCACCTCGTGGAGTTGCAATGATCATGAGAACGATGAGGAATTAGCCCAGAACTACACAGGAGGATCTTGTCAATGATCTCAAGGCAGCTGGGACCATAGTCACCAAGAAAACAATTGGTAACACACTACGCCGTAAAATACTGAAATCCTGCAGCGCCCGCAAGGTCCCCCTGCTCAAGAAAGCACATATACAGGGCCGTCTGAAGTTTGCCAATGAACATCTGAATGATTCAGAGGAGAACTGGGTGAAATTGTTGTGGTCAGATGAGACCAAATGGAGCTCTTTGGCATCAACTCAACTCGCCGTGTTTGGAGGAGGAGGAATGCTGCCTATGACCCCAAGAACACCATCCCCACCGTCAAACATGGAGGTGGAAACATTATGCTTTCGGGGTGTTTTTCTGCTAAGGGGACAGGACAACTTCACTGCATCAATGGGACGATGGACGGGGCCATGTACCGTCAAATCTTGGGTGAGAACCTCCTTCCCTCAGCCAGGGCATTGAAAATGGGTCGTGGATGGGTATTCCAGCATGACAATGACCCAAAACACACGGCCAAGGCAACAAAGGAGTGGCTCAAGAAGAAGCACATTAAGGTCCTGGAGTGGCCTAGCCAGTCTCCAGACCTTAATCCCATAGAAAATCTGTGGAGGGAGCTGAAGGTTCGAGTTGCCAAACGTCAACCTCGAAACCTTATTGACTTGGAGAAGATCTGCAAAGAGGAGTGGGACAAAATCCCTCCTGAGATGTGTGCAAACCTGGTGGCCAACTACAAGAAACATCTGACCTCTGTGATAGCCAACAAGGGTTTTGCCACCAAGTACTAAGTCAAAACAATTTAAAACATTTTTGACATGCATTTTTCTGGATTTTGTTGTTATTCTGTCTCTCACTGTTCAAATAAACCTACAATTAAAATTATAGACTGATCATGTCTTTGTCAGTGGGCAAACGTACAAAATCAGCAGGGGATCAAATACTTTTTTCCCTCACTGTATCCTCTCTCTGATGGTTGTCTGATTGTCTTCCATTTTCCTTTCTCGCCTCTTTTTTTTTTTTTGTCAGGTTGTCCGTGAAGCACCGAAGGAGTCTGCGAATGTGGACAGCGCTGCCCAGCTGTTCTCTCAGCTATAGTGCAGAATGGCTGCATGAAATGAAATCTAGTTACAATTCGAACAGTCCACACTGCCACATTCACATAAGGGGCATCATCGCCACCTTGTAGAGAATGTAATATGACTAATATGATATGTAAATATGGTGGTATAAAAAATTGTGCAGATGTGCTGAAGAATGTAAAGGACTCATTTGTGAGAGGTTGACACTTGCTGTAAAATTGTAGATTTCCTGTTGGATACATCTGTCAAATATAATGATCAACAACCTTAAGGTGTCCATTGCATGTGTCAATGCTGAAATTGATCTCTCTTCACAAATCTATGCTGCCAATGCTGAATGTCAGGGTCTTAGCAGCACACAGTATTTCATTTATGAAGATAGTTTTTATTTTCTATTGGATTTTCACTCTTGATGAGATAATGTACTAATTACTAAGTTGTTCTTGTATAATCTACTGAATGATGTGTGGGTGTATCTATTAGTAAATCACTCGTTCTTCTACTTTTGAAATAACTTTGGGAGAAGTACATCTCGGCGCAGCTTGCTGGCAGTGGCTGGTTTTAAGTATGCTGGGCACATTCAGCGGTAGCCAGTTGGTGGTGCTTTACTGATGTGCTGCTGATTGCCTGTCTCTCTGTGGCCAGCCACCTGTGGAGAATGTATTTATTCAGTCAATAAGCATGGGGCTGTCACAAGACATGCGTGTGCCTGGGAAATGCTGCAACCGAGATTACATTAGCATTTTACAGCTTGTAACATGCGTCTGTAAACTGTTTTTCTGGAGGTGGTTATTCGTGAAACGAAATCTAATGGCAGATTTTCTTTATCGTATGTTAAATCATGTGTGTTCACCAATCTCATTAGTCTTTTCAAGGTTATAATCATAAAAGCGTCACCACTTAGAACTTTGGTGCTAAGCAGAATATTCCTTTAAAGAGTTGCTGAAAGTTGAGTAGAGATTTCGAAATGAACACCCCCCAAAACTGACTGGTATCAGGTGAGTGGAACAGTGATACATGTTCAGGGCTTAGCTAAAAAAAATATATATATTAAAATGAAGCTACAGTGCCAGGACATTACATTTTCAGTGTAGGCCTATATACATGCATTTGTAAGAGTGTAGCCATTGTATTTAATACGGCAGAGGAAATGGTTATCTTGGTTCTGAATGATTGGACACAGTGGGGATAGTGTGACAGCTGCTGCAGTGTAGAGGTGTCAGCCAGGCTATTGGGGCAGGTACATCCCACTGAGATTCCAGATGAGACCGCAGGGTGGCACCATAATACCCTGGGGAGAGAGAATACATATCACACACACATGAATTCACATAGGAGTGGAAAACACAATCATGCACACTATTACATTGAGACTTATGCAGTAGAAACCCTCCATCCAGCCACACTACAAAGCACAGTGGGAGTTTTATCTACACCCTGCTAGGGTGAGAAAATCTCATGGGGAAAAGGGTTGTGCGATAGCACAGGACATTGTGCCTGGCCTGTCATTTCCGTTTCCACAGTAGGCGGCATCATTTCAAGCATGACTTGCTCCTCAAAAGTGGTCCTCGTGACAGGAACAGAAAGCGGCAGAGAATTTTCGAAGAAAATAAGCTACTGTCTTGAGTCTTAGATGGTCGCAGTCCACTGCCCGGTGGTGCTGAACTTCGAAATGACGCTATTGCCGCTATTAGTGGTTCTAAAACAGCGTGATTATTATATTGGTAATTCTACACATATCAAAGTCAACATGACAGATGCACTTTTTGACAACATGCCAGTATGCTACCTTGAGTATGCTGTGGTACATTGTTCAAATTAACGTCCAGGTTTGTGAAGTACAACATATATGCCGTTTGTCCTAGGGTGTTATTTAGAGACAGTCATTAATTCTGCCCACTCAAAAAAGTTATATGAAGGCTATGACCTTTATTGTTTGGCTTATTGCTGAAACGGCAAAATACTAAAATGTCTGACAACTCAAATGCCACAGTGCATTTTAGATGCAGGTACAGTATATCACCATATGTGGTTAGCAGCTCAATGCTTGGGGTAATAAAAGTTACATTTAAAGTTTTGACTTAATCAATTAGAAAGTCAGTTGCTTCTGAAGTACGTTCTTCTTGCTATTCTTTCTCTCACCTTCTGAAGACACTAATACATTTACTTAGTACTGACCACTGAATGTCATTAACAAATGCAAATGCAGTGGAGCAGAGTTATAATTAAAACAAACAAAAAAAACGATTATCTAATCATCTAAATTTAGCCTGAGGACAAAATAAAATTATTGATTTACATCTTTAAGTAAACAAGACATAGACCCATCTGATTAAATAAATGTGTCAGGAAGAAGATGGTTGTAGGCCTAAGTAATTTAATGTAATCAAATTGTTGTTTCCTAAATAAGAATCTAATGAGGAGCTCTGTATTCTTATGTCCACAAGGTGGTGCTATTAGGAGACTTAAGGGTTATCCAACAACATTTCTGCGTGTGTGTGTGTCATGGTCGGGCTCAATTCAGAATTGACTTGCGAATGCCTCATAAATTCCATCTCAACTTTTGAATTAGAATTGAAATAGTAAACAGGATAGATTTTCAATTTGAATTAAAGGAAATATAATACCATTTAATTAAAATGCCTCTTCTATTCTATATTAGGTGTAGTTTATACAAATACATACTGAACAAAAATATAAACAGAACATTTAAAGTGTTGGTCATGTTTCATGAGCTGTAATAAAAGATCCCAGAAATTTAACAGATGCGCAAAAACCTTATTTCTCTCAAATTTTGTGCACAAATGTATTTACATCCCTGTTAGTGAGCATTTCTCATTTGACAGGTGTGGCATATCAAGAAGTTGATTAAATAGCATGATCATTACACAGGTGCACCTTGTGCTGGGGACAATAATGTGCAGTTTTGTCACACAACACAATGCCACAATGCCTCAAGTTTTGAGGGAGCATGCAATTGGCATGCTGACTGCAGCAATGTCCACCAGAGCTGTTGCCAGATAATTGAATGTTCATTTCTCTACCATAAGCCGCCTCCAACGTTGTTTTAGAGAATTTGGCAGTACGGCCAACCGGCCTCACACCGGCAGACCGCGTATAACCACGCCAGCCCAGGACCTCCACATCCGGCTTCTTCACCTGCGGGATCGTCTGAGACCAGACACCCGGCCAGCTGATGAAACTGAGGAGTATTTATCTCTGTAATAAAGCCCTTTTGTGGGGAAAAACTCATTCTGATT